GACGTGGCATGTTCGTACGAACCCTTTGTACGAACAAAAGTAAGAGAAATTTAGGATAAGAATATGAACATGTTCTTGCGTGAGGCCCAATGACTCTTATTAGACCCTGGCTGCCTGATGAATGCCAGTTTTCAAATTTCAATTAATTGGCTTTAAGCATTTCAGATAAATATAACAATTTAAAAGTGTGTTGTGATGCCTAAAGGTCTAAACTTTACCAAACAGGGAAGACCTAACCTTTAAAACTGTGGCACAAAAAGCTACTGAGACTTTAAGGCTTCAAACAAAATAGTCATGTATCATCATGGTAAGTAAGTAACGTTTATTTCTACAGCACCTATCATAGATGTAAAATCACAAAGTGGTTGACAATAWAAGCAAGAAAAAAGTTAAAACATCACATTTATAAAAAAAGTACAAGTAAAAACGGGGTAGAATCAAAACACTCCAACAACTTAGCCAAAAGTCRGTTTGTAAAAGAAAGTCTTCAGAGTCTTTTATAGCATCAATAGAATCAAGGCTGCGTATCGACTGGAGCAGTGTATTTCACAGCTGGGGTGTAACAGCTTGGAAAGACCGATCCCCACAAGATTTAAAAGGGGTGCAGGGTCCCATCAGGGTCAACATGGCTTGGACCCCGATGATAGCTGCTTGCACTACATTTGTATTATTTATTTGCAAAAGAATCCTGTTTCCAACACTTCAAATGTGTGGTATAATAATAACAGGTGCAAAAACATTCCTTTGTTAAWTTTCTGGCAGTAACTTTGTGGTGAGGGAACGCCAAAGGTTTTGTTCTGATGACTGTTTGATGAAGGTGAGATTAGTGCAGCTGCACAGCTCCAGCCCTCCGCTCTCTTACATCTTTCTTCAGGCCTTTTGAAGTCAACTCCGCCGTTTTTATCAAACGTACAAACAGCTCTCTCCCTCTGTCAGTGCTCCTGTTTTACACCTCAATCTGAGAATTGTTGTTTCTTAATTACACTCGCAAAACCTGGAGCTTACATGAAAGACAATGTAAACTACAGCCTTGTCCTGATGATTTTGTATCTGTCAGTTTGGTTTTAAAAGTACTTTGCAGTCTTTTAACATCYCTTTAAAATTCACAATGCCTCTGAGTTTTTTCTACAAAAGGAACGCCTTTCATCCTAATGGAAGTTTTTGTCCCTGGGTTCAGAGTTGTGAGCCACAAAGATTCAAAATGAAGCAGGTCTGAAAAATAAATGCTTTTATTTTGAAGGGAAGGAGAAATCAAGTAAGTGGTCAGCTGCCGGTGAGAACAGAAGCTGGTTTAAAGCAATCCAGCGAAGTAGTTGGTGGAGAAGTATTTTTATTTAACATACATTTGTTCTTTCTTACAGTTTGAAATCTGTTTTGCAGTTTAAYAACAGGGTGTCAGGACGTCAAGACTGGATGGAGGTCCAAAGGCACGAGTTCCAGAGTCCCAAGTAAGTTCTTTATAGATGGAGGCAGACTGAACTGTGGTTACTCCTTGAAATGGTTCTCAGGAGGACCCCTTGAGGTCAAACTGACCCACAAAGTCTTCTGTAGGAGCAGAGCAGACAACAGGAATCCGATTCTCATATTTTGTTTTATTAAAGGTTCAGAGTTGGAGCTGAGTTCATATCTATAAATCTAATTTACACAAAGTAAAAACAGTAAAAAAAAATTAAGAATACTCATGCGATCTATGACATCAAGCACAGAAAAGTCCAGAGTCATTTGGTGTCCAACTGAAAAGCAGGATAKGAGAGACTGAAAAAGTAAATGGTGGACATGTCCTTTGAGGAAGGTGGAAGAAGTGAACCAATCACCTGAGGCAGTCCAGACAGAAATACCACAAGTGTTTTATATTTGTTCTCCCCTCTTCTTCAATCCCTTGGTGTTAATATTCCAACTGGAAAACAAAGAAAACAATTAAAAATAAGAGTACAGTTTGCCTTTCATTATAAAGAATCCCTACAGCTTTTGGCAGCATGGCGGATCAGTGGTCAGCACTGATGCCTCACATAAAGGAGGCCCTGGGTTCAATCTCCCTTTCAGACCTGTGGTCTTAATGTTTATGYAGTTTGCATATTCTGCTCTTCCTTGCGTTGGGTTTTCTCCAGGTACTCCAGTTTCCCCCACAGAGCAGTGGGATTTGCCCAGTTGAATATAGGTTAGCAAATAAATAAAGGGTTATATTTGTTTTCTCCTTCAGGCCWCATACATGTCTGTAACGATGTAAATATGTTACAGCTTTAAGAAATGGCTTAAATTTTATTTTAGGTGGAGTTCTGTAGAAACGTTATAAGTGTATTACCTGCTGCAGATAATTATTTGAACAAACTCAGTTTGGAAAAAAGGAGTTTATTTATGATCAAATGAACTAGACCAATAATTTTAGTCTAAAAATATGTTGTTGTAAGTGGTTCATGTGAATAATATTTTAAAACTTTTTCCAGTGTTAATTTACATAAAAGTCTWTTATCTTTATTTACAGTGAAAACAATAATATGGATCGTGTGACGTTTACTCAGCTATAGTAACCATATCATAGAAAAGTAAGGTTGTGCAAAAAATTTTTCATTTTGTTTAATAATTATTGTTGTGTTAAACACAGAATTTATTTTGCATCATGTAGTTTTTCTGCCATGCCACGCATATTTCAATCCATGTTTCACAAACATTACTTGTTAAACTTAAGTTGACTCATGCTTTAAGGTAAACAACAAAAATAAATTATGTATACTTGAAAAAAATTAGTTTTAAAGTCAACTTTAGCTCGTCAATCTGGTCCAACTTAATCTTTTTATCCAAACTGAAGACCAATCTACAACAGGTTTTGACTGTTTCTAACTTTCACACAGAACCCCATGGTAAAGAAACAGAGCTGTCAGACTTACTGTGGTAAAATGAACAATGCAGGTGATGACGATGATGAGGACGCCAATGATGATGGAAGCAACAGAGACATAGAGGGCGTTCCTGCCCAGTCGCCTGGAACCATCATAGTCACCTTGATAGTAACTCTTTCTAGACTGGGAAGTAAAGAGATCGTGGTAAAACATCTTTTACTTCAAACTGCAGATCTGAAGCTGTTTTCTAACCTGTGAACTTTGTTTTTACTTGATTTATTTCGTTTTTGAAACTTTTGCTGAACAGAATTTGGTCGTTTGACCCAAATTTAATGTGAATCGAGAACAGCTTCGGCTTGCTTTCATTTACCAAAATAGAAGATGAGGCATGCAGGGTGTTTGATGGACAGAGCAGGTGTGTGTGTGTGTGTGTGTGTGTGTGTGTGTGTGTGTGTGTG